GAGCATCTCCTCCTTTCAAGGAAGGTATCCACACTGAGAGAAAGGTATGATTCGATGTTATGTCTGAAAGGTATGGTGGGTTTATGGCACAGTGGGAGAACAAAAAAGCATTGTAGTTTTTATCAAAGTGCTTTGAAAACGACTTTTGGTATTGTATTGTTATGGTATTGTTGTATGATATTTGATAGTAAATGAGGTAATATTTAATAATTTTATGATGAAAAAAATTTGAAATGGTGAAATTAGGTAAATTTATCATGATACTTTAGAGAATAGCATACAAATCATAGCTCTGCGGAAACACAAAAGGCTCCATTATTTTTACTGATTCACTTTGGAAATGATTTTGGTAAATTTAACAATAAAATAAGGTTTTAAGATAGGTGATAAAATTTATTAAATTATGTAATTTTTTCATGATATCTTAAAGCATAGGATAAAAGCCACTTATTTGATGAAATTTACTTTTCAGTCTAGTGCTTTTAGTATATATGTGGTAATAAAAACTGAAACTTCGAAAACAAAGAATTTCCGGTAAGTCAATATCCAGCGAACGAAAAAAATTCAAATGAATGGTTTAAATAACGATTATTTTGGTTTTATTACCAGAATTAAGTTGTTTTTTTTTTACCAGAAGTGTCATTGCCATACAAGTACGGTATTTTAACCAGAATTTGATTTCTCCTTGCAAAGTGGTTTTTATGACAACACTTGACCTATTTATCTTTGATTATGATAATTAAAATTTTAAAACAAAATAGAATTTTCTAAAACTCTCTGTCGAGTAATGTTAATAATAATTCTATAATTCTACCTATTTAGTTTTATTTAGATTGAAATTAATAGCAAATAGTCAGTAAAACGACTTATAAAGTACTAAATATTGTCAATTTTTTAGTAATTTATTATCCATTGAAATAAAATATTCTATCGCTTATAAATTATTTCATTAATATTGCTTGAAGCATACACATCATTGCTTTCGTAATAATTTTTTTAAAATGAGAAGTTTGCAAATTGAAAATTACTGAACGGTTTCAGAAGCATGTTGCTTATAGAATTGATAGTTCTGTCAACTGTAAGTTGTTTTTTTCGTCTTTTTTTTATACTTTTATACGTGAAAATATTTTAATACAAACAAGGTTTCTATAATTCGAAAATTTGTCAGTCTAAATAGTTAGATATACTATCTACAAATATATAGGCAAAAAATATGTTAATAGATGTGTAAATATATAGGAAAGAATTTCTTCTAAATAAGATATTATTGATTGTATGATTTTATGATTTTTTTCTGATATGATGCTCTACAACCATTCCTAATAAATTGCATATTAAATTTATCTTAAACGAACACTAAATTGTTGGTAAAATAAATGTATTGAAATTTTATTAATGAAATCCAAAAACAGTTTTACCTGCACTTTCTGTATTTTCGTCTTTTTTCATTTGTTTTCAAAAAATATGTATAGATAATTTTTGAGTTTTGAGCAAATACTTCAATTTTATTTTTTTTTAAATATTTTTCAAAATAAATAGGAATTCGTGTCTTATAAAGAGTAACAAAAAAGAATATCTCAGCCTAAGGTAATAAAATTAAATATTCAAAGTTATGATTAAGTATGAGAAGATAAGTTCACCGAAGCCGAAGTTTCAGTTGAAAGTAAATGTTGTTAAATGTTCCGTAAAATGCCAAACCTGGAATATTTCACAGTTGGATTAATTTGGAGAGGTAAAGGTATAATTATTACACTTCCAATACCTCCGCATAGTAACAACAAAAAGAACCTCAAAGCTGTTTGAAAACTGTATCTGGAGTAGAAAGTTTATATCTGACTACAAACTTCATTTATTAAATTTTATGCGCGTTTTAAATATACTTTAAGAATTATTTCTACAAAGATATGCATGATTTCCTTGTTTGGAGAATTGTTTATATGCGTTTTGTAAAATTGATTGAAAAATTCTTCACTTTAGGGGGCCAGAAACATATTTTTGAAACATTTTTTTTTAAATTGTCATTACAGTTTTTGAATTTTTTCTTGTACTCTCGCACCATATTATAAGAAGAAAAAAATGCTCACAAGTCTAAGAGCAATTTTCTTTTTTAAAAAAATTATTAAAAGTTGAGGATTTTAAACTTTAATGTATAACGAAAAATATTAAGCTTCATTGATAAAAATTTATTGATAATTTGAATGAAATTATTCGTTATTTTATTATATTTTGTGTTTTTTACTATTAGTACTGAAATAACTCAAAATTTCTAAAAACAAAATAGTAATTCTTTTTATTTTTCATTATTTTTTAAAACTCATATAAACGGAAACTAAGTTATTTTTCAAATTTTTAGACAACAAATTTTAATAAAATAACTAAATTATATTATTTTAGTTTGCCTGTAATATCAAAACTAAGTTTTGAGATATATTTTAATAGTAAAATGGAGAAAAAAGTTTCGAAGGAGATGAAGAAAATACCTTCAAAGTTGCAACATCACTAAAAGTTTAATGCAGGGAAGAAAATGTAAAATATAATCTTCTCTCACAATCTAACTGAGAAAAAGAACATATTTTTACCTCCTGATACATAATTAATGGTATTTTTTATTTTGTAAGAAAGGAAAAATCTCGAAATTTAATTCTTTAACCGACATATGACTTTAATATCATAAACCCCGTTATGGAGAGTTGAGTTGAATGTTCTCTCTGTCTACGTTGGATTGACGTACTTCGCCATAGCTTACGTTGACTTGGTTTCTCAGAAAATATTCAATACATTTTAAAAAAAATACTTAATCCTTTAAAATTAGGCATGCTTACATTTGGATTTTTCTCTTTTTAATTGTAAAAAAATTTCTCATTTAATTTGGAATTTAATAATTTGCTTCTTAGAAAATTTACTTTGAAAGTAAGTGGAAAAAGTAACAAATGTTTTTTTTTCTTGATGAGAAGAAAAAAACCAACCATACGTCACGCCCGTTTATAGAGCGGTCCCATTCATACATATATTCATTCATCCAAAAATCGTAATTTCGGCCTAAACCAGAGAACGATCAATCTCCAATTCAGTACCCCCAGAAGTATTAATTTGTTATGGGAACTTGGAGGACTTTGTGACCCGACATATTTAGCATGTACCATACACTTCAGCTGGCTGGATTCGAACTCCCGTTCTCACAAACGTGAGTCCAGGCCCTGACAAACAGGTTGTCTCGGCCACACATTTTATATAGATTTTTTTTATATAGAAAAATTATTTTATATAGGTTAATAGGAAAATTTTATGTAGATTAACTATTCAACACTGATGTTAGTACAGCTTGAAATAGGAAAGTTTCTGTCTGATTGCTTTGAACTGTAGAATTCAAGACAGTTGTTTTGAATGATTGAAGTCACGTTTTTGCCCTTGATTTAATTTTTGATCTAAAATAGAAACTGAAAACAAAAAGTTTTATAACTCTAATTAAAATCATTCACAGCAAATACAAAGTGTTTCAAGTGCAAACGACCCAAACGGAAAAGAAAAGTTTGAAAAGGAATTGAAAAAAAAGTCTTTTTCAGAAAAAAATGCATTTTAAGTTCTAAATCGGAAATATAAACAGATCATGCAATAAAGTCCTTTACTTATTTAGTCAATAAAGATAAATAGATACTTTTACAAACAGAAAAACAAGTATGCTCGCTAATAACTATTGCCTACATTTTAAAGTGAGAAGAAATTACTTTTAAATTAGTTACAAACAAAAACTCCACAAATTTTCAAGGTTTATTTTTACAAGGTAAAACAAAGGCATAAATCAATATTACCTATGAACCAGCATAGTTTGTTTTTAATCTGAAGATGTAAATTTATAATGCTAAATATTAATGTGAATTTTAGTTTATTATCAGATATATTATAAGTAATGTTTAAAAGTTACTGATTATTCAGAAAAATTATATTAAACATAAAACAAATTTGTTTCTTAGTTGTGATTTTCTTCAATTATTGATACGTCTATATAAAACCTTCGATTTATTTAGGAATGCGCCTAAATGAATCTAAATTTGCATTAAAAAGCAATTTATCAGATTATTTCTAATTATAAGCTGAAAATATAAGTAAAATTACAACTTAGGAACCTGATGATTCAAAAAATAGTGTATTTTTCTAATTCGTGAGCTTCGAAAAGTTTGTAATAGTAAATTTAGTTGTCGAGTTTAAATAAAATTTCTTGAGATATTTTTTCATAATTAATTAGTATAAGAAACTGAATGTTTTTAAAATAATAATATAAAAGAAATTTTAAAGGATTTTCAAGTATGCTTGCTGAAATAGGGAGCGAGAAGAAGAAAAAAAATTAAGATTGTGTAAAGTAGTTTTTGCGTGTAAAATATAACAACTCATCAATTTGTTTACATTTAATTAAAATATCACATACTGTGACCATCTCTTAATGACAAATTGTTTACACAAATTATACCTATTTACTGCTTGAAAATGAAAATAATAAGAATCGTGAGATTGAAAGAACCAGATTATTTAGAAAATGGAGAGCATTTTTCCTATTTCTAGTTCCAGGGAAAATATTTTTACACTATATATATTTTCACTACATATATTATCCATTGAAATAAANAGTTTATCAATATTCCTAAATCATTTCTAAGCTACTATTTTTGCATAAGAAACTGTCATTTAAAAGAATATCCTTATTAATCTAGAAGGAAAACATTCAAAGCAAAATGTTTTCAATCAAACGCAAAATTAATCTGATAAAATATGGACTAATAAATGGATGATAAAATATGAATTAATGATAAAATATTAACAGATGATAAAATGCAATCCTATAATTCAAAATAATAAATAATTTTTACGATAATTTTAAAAATATTTTTAATGCAAAGAACAAAGGAAATATTTTATTTATTAATATTTTTACATTGTTTATTCTTTTATTTTTGCATTGGAAGAAATGAATAATTTTGAAAGAAATTTCAAATAAATATGCTCACCGTCACCCTCCGTTCTTCTTTCTGGATGAATTGCAACTGTGAATCGTTTGACCCGGGTCAAACCTCCACTAGCCTCTCCACTATCTTTATCCATCATAGAACATAATATCTTTCAGCTCTCTAGAGAAAATGATACCTATAACACTTTTAGCTGAGCACGATCGCTAATTTTAGGAAAAGCTTTTTCTGGCGATATTTCCATGCATCGTCAAGTCTTTTGAGGGTAAAGAGTTAGCGTGATGAGCTGGCGTGCACTGTATCGGACATGATGGTGTCGCCAAAGTAAAGGCGCCAAATAAAGTTCGATTAAGCTAGTGTAGTTTCCTCTCGTTTACTCAGTTTTTTGAACTTGTCTCGGAAAAAGTTTTGTGAATGACGATAAAATTTCGTGACTACTCCGCACTCTTTAGAACTCGTTGAAAGACAAAAAAAGGAAAGGGTTGTTTAGTAAATGGAAAACGATTTAAGTGAAATTTTTAGCAACAGTAACATGCTTTCTCTGTCACTCACGTATTCTTTGGCTTTGAAGTAGCACTTTACTTAATTTTATTTGTAACACTTTAACACTTTTGTGCATTTTAAAAGCATTATATTTAAACTTCATCTCAACACATCCCAAATATTAACTCATATAACTTTTTGCACATCTTGTAACATGCATATAATTATATAAATCCTTTATTGGTTTACCATGTCTAATATTTTGTTTTATATGATAAGAAATGGAATAGTAGTATAAATTGGAAGAATATTATTGTATGAATTATATTAAATATTTTAATTGTATTTTTTTATTGTTTATCCGATTATTATTATCTAATTATTATTATTTCAATTAACATAATTCCAATTAATATAATTCCAATTACTCTTAATCCAATTGCTATTATTCAAATTATTATTATTTCAGTTATTATAATTCCAAGTAATAATAATATTAACATATTTCATAACTAAGAAAATATGTTTGCTAAGTGTATTAAAAAATACACTTCTGACCCAGATAAGAAACAAATTCATACATTAAAAGCGCTTTTGAAATTATTTTTTCAGTTCTTTATATTTTTATAAGATACCTAAATAATGGAAGACAAGCTTTTAAAATGGTTGAGCCAATAATATACACTGAGAAAAAAGTAAATGGTTTAGTAAAAACTACCAAAATATGGTAAAAATTACCGTGTTTCTAGCAGCTGTATCGGAACACTAAGTAGCTCAATAATTCTTACCGAAACGCTTCGCTAATGATTTTGGTAAAATTAACAATTAAATATGGTTTTATAATATGTGATAAAATTTTGTAAATGTGGTAATTTAATTATGATACCTTAGATCATGACCTAAAAATTATTTATTAGGTTAAATTACTTTTCAGTTCTGTATTCTTTAATTAATGTGTAATAATAGGAACTATAATTTTAAAAATCAGAATTTCCTGTGAACAGTTAAATGAAATTACCAAATGAATGGTTCGAATACCCTATATTCTGGTTTTATTAACCAGAATTATGATTTTTTCGCTTGAAATGTCATTACTATACAGTACGGTACTTTTACCCAAATATGTGTACGTATTGTCTGACATTTTAAATATTATCATGCCGTATTTTATTTTATGTGCAGATAAAAACCTCGCATACAATTTAACCCAACAATTTAGGGTAAAATGAAGTAAACATAAAAATTTAAAAAAATAAATAATAATAAATGTTATCCTATACACGAAAAATTTTGTATTCTTATACAGAAGTTATTGACACTTTAATTAAAAAAGCGAGCATGTTTATTTAAAGTGATAACACATATACTTTGTCTCATGAAACTTAATAAAGAAATCAAAGTTTTCATTATTTTTTTTAGTTTCAACTTTAACTGGAAGAAACTAAGTTATTTTAGAAAATAAGTTTACGAGTTTTACAAAATAAAATTTATATACAGAAATTACATCTAAATGAATTTTCCCTTTCTCTAATCTTATCCCACTGAACAATACATCCAACTCTATTTTTATATTGCAAAACATTATGATTACGCTTTCCTATTAATTGCAAAGCATGCAGCCTTCATCAGCCAAGAATTCCTCCTAGAATTAATACAAAGCACTTGTTATGCTCACGCTACCATAAGCTTATATGGAAGAAGCGCATGGCTTAATTTTACCACCTAACCGTTAATGTTGTTTGCAGAATTATTTTTATTAAAAAGTCACAAGCAGTTGCTCTTAGGGTGCTCTTAAGCTTTTAAATTAAAATTTTATTTCTCATTTATTTTTAACTGCAATTTTCCTGTTTACGAAACACTTTTGACGTATTTTCGCCTGCATATTTTAAAAACGATTATTTTTCATCTCATTGTATGTTATGTTTTATTTTTGTATAATTATATGATTTCTTTTTTGCCTGAATATATTGTTAACAATTAATATCATCAGGCTGAAAAATATTAGACAACATAAACGACAGTATGTTTCAAATTTCACATAGTATTATTTAAAAGTGATTAAATTTTTCTAAGAGTAACATCGGGAATTTAAAAATGCATAAGTCAATTAAATTATTCGATTTGATAAATTCAGTCTATAAATGTCATGTTTCCTGTTACTGCCAGATGCTTGATATTATCAAAAAAATATTTAAAAAAATTTAAAATGCTTTAAATTTTTTCATGAAAATCACATTTTAAATCATATTTATACAGACTAAATACATTTAACTGATTTTGAACTAGGATTATCAAGTAAATAACCAACTGGTTTCACGGCTTGCGGTGGAAGGAGCATTGCATGCACTGCAAAAAATTTCGGATTAAATTACGATATAAAGTACTTTAGGTGCATTATCCGTAAAATCCATTTTACCGTAAAATCTATTTTACCGATAAATATTACTCTGTAATTTTTATAGTAATATTTTTTTTAAATTAGAGTAATTCAATAGTTTTTCAGTTATTATTACTGAAAGAATTTCTTTAAATCCATTTGATCCGCAACATATTCCTGTAAAAGTGGATTTTACGGTAAAAAATACCAAGACCCTAGGTGCTGGTTTTTTCTACTGGAATTTGATCCGGAATTTATTAAAGTGCAGCTTACGTGAGACATTCATAATTATATAAAGTCGTCCAGAACTAAGAAACGTGTCTTACTAAGGGTTTTTTCCGGTATCTTTTACCATAATTTGATCCTAAATTTTTTACAGTGCGATCTCTTTACTGAACTGCACGACTGGCATCCGGATTCAGAGCTTTCAGCTTCACCTGCAATGCACGACACGGCTCGCTACAAACGACCTTTGAAAGTCCTATCTCTTTGATGATTTTGAGCAGCTTACATAACCGGTTTTATAATATCCAATTGATAAGTTCCATTCCATATTAGACACTATATGATTGTTCTGAATATAGCCACTTTATTGTAACTATTTTCAACATAATGCGAACAACATTTTTTTCTCATGTTATGTCAATCTATGAAGTCCTACACTTCTGAAATAGAATCTATATCATTGCACAGCGTGTTGAAACTTTACTGTAACTTAGCATTATTGTATCGTAACTATTTATAGATCTTTTTAGTTTAACTATAATAGAAGGAACAAATCCGTATATCAACTCTTAAAGCACAATTTATTTAGTTAAAACATTATTTTGGAATCTAACCGGCCGAAGACTCCTCGTGAAGTAAGTGGTGACTGGTGCACGTTAGATCTGTTGGGTCGCAAAGTCCTCCATGTTCCCATAACAAATCAATACCTTTGAGGGCACTGAATTGGAGATTGATCGTTTTCCGGTTCACGTCAAATGGGTGTATGAATGGGACTGCCCTATAAACGGGTGTGGCAGAAGTCGAATTCCTGGTCATAGATGGCGCCACTGGAAAATATGAACAATTGCACTCCGTTGCTTTAATGACCTACGATAACAACAACACTTTAAAATAAATGGAGCATATATTTTAAATGTAAATTTAAAATATATGCTCCATTTATTACCTTCATTTCACTTCATTCTCACATTTCAATTTTACAAAATTACTTTTAAAACATTAATTTTATTTCATACCAAAATTTCAAATATGCAATGTAAAACTGAAATGTGAGCTATATAGTAAATTAATGTCCTTCTCGTATTTTAATATTATATCAATGCTTTGTCATTTTTTACATCTCATTTACGACATTATTTTAAATCATACTCCTCATCATAATCTTTATACATTTTATTTCAACATTACAAAATTGAAATACGGGATATACCACTCATTTCATAGCATTAATTTTATTTCATGTCCATATTTCAATATTGCTTTTTTATTTGGCAAATACCTATAAACTATACTGTCGAATACAATTTTATATTTTATCTTATTGAATGGATAAAACTACATAAAATATTACCTTATCTAGTTTCTAAACAATATCATTCGAGAATATTTTACATAGGATTCCAAAAAATGAAATATTACAAGGGGAAATCTTTTGAAATTGATCAAAAGATTTTTTTCACGATTGTGTGATACCTGATAATCAGATTTCTTGCTTGTTTGTTTTTTTTTTTACCTAAGGTATATAAAATGCTTAAAGTATTTCCTAGCGTGATGGAACATCTATTTCTTTCCACTTTCTCGTCCATTTCTCTTTTATTTCCTTGTGTCGTATCTCTTAGTGAATAATGCGAAAAATTTCATCGATTCCTCTTTTATATCATTTTAAATGTTTGGATATGAGGAGATTAGAGTAGTTTTTCTCTTTGTGATACATCTACAATTTCATATATATTTTCTTACTCAAATTTTTTTCTTAGAAATACAAGCATTCAAAAACTCTAAGCTTATAGAGTTTTTGAATGCTTGCTTATAGAGTTTCTTGCTTGTAGAGTTTTTGGATTATATAGAAACGGAGGATCAAAAACAACTGAATCGTATTTGTTTTAAATAGATTTATTTTACATTAATCGTATATTTATATCATGTTTTCGTAGAAAAAAAAATCTTCGTATACATTTTCGTAATCTTTATATAACTAATTAAATTTAAAAAAACTTTTAACGTTTTCGAGTACAAAACTATAATTAAAAGTTATTTAAAAAAAATTATTAAAAAAGTTATTAAAGTTAAGTTATTAAAAGTGAAAAAATAAAAATTGTATCACACTCTGAAGAATCATCATCGAGATTAATCAAAGCAAAGAAGGAATTAAAATCATCGGGAAAAGTTTATTTGTCTTGTGGAAATAGAATGCATTTCCCTCTTTGAACACTGATATACAGTTTGATCTTCGAA